ACACTGCCAGTTTTCAGTTTTTGTTTTCCAGGGGCTCACCTAGGACTTGCTTAGCATATTTTGTAAACCTGCATGTCCTATTATAGGGGACTTTAGCATTTAAATCACCCAACTTTTGACTCTTCTGTTTGATCTAAACTGAGAACTACATCAAATCCTTATTCACAGCACTTTGTAGTGAAGATGTTTTCAGCACCATAAACAAAACCATTTGATTTCTGTTCCACAGTAAAGAACCATATTGCTATTCTAAGGCGTATGCACATACGTTAGTTGAATAAATGATTCTGTAAAGACAGCTGTTTAAAGTAGGAAAGCACACAGTGGGGAACAGAGATTCACAAATGCCTGCAAGGGAGGGAGAAGATTTGGCCCAAGAACATCAACACTTCTCTGGCTCGCTGGCACTGCTGACAAAGCTGAACGGTGAGGCTCTCACTGAACATGGGTTTTTTTGTTGTTGTTTTACAGAAAGAATGTACATCCCAACAAAATTAATATTGAGTTAATAAACACCACCAGCCCGTACTGGTTTGAAGTAATAAAATGTATTAAGAGGCACTATTTCATTCAGCTTTCCAGCAACATCTTTTCTTCAGAAAATTTTAAAATACCAACACTTCAAAACTTACTAATACTTCAGGGACATTAAAATGTGATAGCATTATACAGGCAAGCAAAAATGACTTTTTATATGTGCTCCTCTTACCACCCAAGTTTGTCAAGTCCCTAAAAGCCAACAAAAGGCAACTTTTCAGCACTCCTGTAGAGGACTAGATTTGAACTAAGTGGGAAGGACTTCTAAAGCTAGAAACCTCACATTCAAACTGAGAGCAGGGTTTAAATAAGTTTTTCATATTTCAGTCTCCCTAAAACCAGATATGGTGTCTTCACCCTGAAGCATGCTTTGGGTTTCCAGCTTCAACCTCTGAGTTTTGAGCAGCCTCGGAAAGCCTCTTACTTTGATACAAATACATAAGGAGGTCTTCCTTCAACCATCTTGAGGTACTGAAGACCTACTTTGCAGGTCTGCTCTCAGGACAAACTGCACTGAACAATATGCGTGCACATAGAGCAGCTCTTTATTTTTCTAAAATTATGTATTTGGTATGTATTACGTATTTCTCAAAGCTAAAATACCAGGATGGAGAACTGGCACCCTGGTCAGTCAATGAAAGCTTTGCCATCACTTCCAAACCAGGCCAGCACAGGTAGAAATACAGTATCTTCATCCAGTTGCATTTGCATTCATGCAGTTGCATTTGCATTGCTGGAAGGGCATCCCACAAACACACTAATTCCACATATATCCCACCAAAAGCTAAAAAAAAAAAACAACCCACAACTGGAAATGAATGTCATGTTAAACCTCTGATAAAGCAATAACCTAATTATTTAAATATCTGGTAATATCTTTCAGGGATATTTTCTTTGGACCAAAGATATCTTTTGTGATTCCCTGCAACAGTCAGTGATGGACATTAAGTCTGCCAGTGATGACAACAGACATCATTCTACAATCATGCAATAATGCTTTCAAGGGGAAAACCAAAACCACCACCAACAAAAAAAATTCCTAACCACAAGGCAGTGCCTCTTTTTACACTGTAGAAAAATTTCCTTTCTATTCTTTTTCGAATGTTAAATATGTAAGAAATTCTCCTTTCAAATGTGGTAGCTGCCTTAATTTCCATAATGATGTAGAAGACTGTACAAGCTCTTAATGCATCCTAGTATGCATCCCCCAGCAAAAAGCATGACTCGCGTTACTCAGCACAACATTCTCAGCTAGTTTTGATGAAGAAACTCCAAGCTTAAGCCTTCATGTGGCTAAGAACGTGACTCTTGTAGCAACCTACTGCAAGTGCAGCTTTCTATTGCTTTACTGCCACCACACAGTTAATGTTGTTTTAAGCTGAAGCTACTCAGTACCTGGCACTTCTGCAGACAGCCTCCCACGTTCTATTTAGGCATCTTAAACAAAATACATGCACATACAGAAGGCAAACTTTCACCATTCGTATTTGAAAATTCCACTGGGGGGAAAAAAAAGTCAAAACTCACATTAATAGTAGTAAAGCACACTTAGGTCTTAATTAAGTCTCACTGGTCACCTGCATTAACTATGGAATCTGTAAAACCTTGAATTGTTTAATCTTCACATTGAACTTTTAAAATACTAGAAAAGTTACAATAGTATATTTTTATATGTATATATTCAGAAAGACATCTGAAGAGGATGGGACTGATGCAAGGTCTGTTAAGGCAACATAAAAATCCACACTTAAGCAGCTTTTTTAATCAAGCCTTGTTTGAAATACAGTACCTCAGAATTAAGTTAAAACGCTGGCT